TCCGCCCCCACCCCCACCTCCCCAGCCACCTCTTCCACCACCTTCTTGTCTTTTTTGCCAAGGAGGCATTTCGGGAGGAGGTGGTTCAATCTCTGTTGGTCTGCCTCCACGGTCAGGTACTCTCCCCATCAGAACCTATATGGAAAAATAGGTCACTTTTAGTTTAAAAAAAAAGTAATAACAACTTGAAGGGACACAGGGTTCTTCTATGGGCAAAGACATGCTGCCTAGCCCTTACAGGAAATATGGTCCCCTCAGTGTGGAGCTTGACAGCAGAATCCCTATTTCCTGTCCTTGTAACTTGCCACAACACAACAGAACTCTGAAAGTGATCCCATTTTCCACTTGTAAAATTGAAATAACTGCAGCTAGCTAGCTCATATTACTTTTGTGAAATCTTTATGAAGAAAACTACACGCACATGAAGTATTAGTATTACAATAAGCAATATACATAATTCACATATATATTCATATAGAAAAGACTCCTCATGATGTGGTGTGGCTCTTCTACTTAAATTTCGAAGTTCAAGTTCAAACCTAATCAACTGGCAAAAAACATAAACTGGCAAACTGATGTGCAACTCTCAAAGGAACGCCAGTTTGCCTTAGATTAGAAACTACTGACACTTAGTAGAGAGCTGGAACAGACAAAATACGTAACACGCTGCAGTAACACTTTTAAGAAAATAAAAAAAAAAGGGATCTTGACTTTGGTGGATAGTATTCAGTGTACAAAAAGGGAGACTGTACTGGACAAAGTTACATGAAACATTAAGTAGAAGAACAAAGAGGTATCCAAGTAGGTCTTTTTGTTGTTGTTTTTGTATTTCCTAAACTTTCTGTGTGATGAACATTAACATACTCTGGTCAGTCCCAGGCACTCCAATTAAAGTCCTCTCAAGAAGAAGGGGAAGAGGAGAAAACAAAAACAACCCCACAAAAAAACCAAAAAAAAAACCCCCCCCACTTTCTCTGAGATCCTACAATAATTAAGTTTCAGAATCTTTGGGATCAAAATATATTAAAGGGTATCTAAATGAGGCACAAAACTTCAGAAAAATCTGTAAATAAAGGATTAATAAAAATAGGCTTAGTCACCACTTGAATGGTGAAACTAACGTCATTACTCGCAAGCTTCAGCTTTTATCATATACAAGAAAGCAGCACAATGTTGATTTATTACTGTAGCCAAACCAAATAATTTTACTTTGCAGCAAAATGACACTTCTACAGAAACTTTTGTGATTTATAATATACTAATAAACTAAAGATGCTGGGTTACAAATTAAACAACGTAATTCTGGCAAACAGGTAGCCCAGGAACTTATACCAGAAGGACTTACACGTATCCTCAACCTGAGGTGTGCAGTTCCACTGAACTCAAGAGGTCATTTACACACACACACGTGCACGCACACGAACACCCCCCACCACTGTTCCTTCTCATCTAGAATACTGTTTCATCCTGTTGCATGACCGACTGCGCAATAAGCTAAAAAAGAAGCCGCTGCAATGTTTATTGGAATGCTGCAAACTTTCCTCTCCTAAAGCACCAGGTATCTTGCAAAAAGAAATGAAAATATTAAGCAAAGAGTATAATTCCAGAATTGCTTTTGATAGGTCTGTAAACTCCCATGTCCTTTTATCACATCCCAGAAAGAAAAAGTATACCTTGTTGATCGCACAGACTGTATTTTCCCGTGTTGATCCACTACTTGTTCTTATGATCTTCGATAAATCTTCTCGAGCAGCAAGAAGGTGAGCTAATGTAATAGTTGACTTTGGAGATAATGCATAGCGCTTGGGCTGATAGATTCGTGCTATGTCATCTGTTTTTACCTAAATGATAAAATCAAACACAACTTACTTGCTAGGCATAAAACACACAAACATGCTTACCGTAAACCATTTATTGGTCTCAGTAAGTTTCAATTTGAACACAGGGTGTAATGTCTGAAAATCTAGGTTATCTTACAAAATACAGTGCCAGTTGTTACCAATTCTCTTCATATTGATGGAGCTATTGTACACAAAATGCCGCTGATCATGTTTAATTGATGCTGAAACTCAGCACCATTACAAAAGAAATTCTCCTATCCACTGGCACCAGATTCTTTGATGTTTTCCAACATATCTAAAGACTAAAATTTAAGAGTCCAAACTGCTCTCTCAAGAGCTTTACATAGCCATATTTAACAGATCACTTCTAAATGTGATGAAAACAGAGCAGCTTCAAAGTAAGGTCGATTTGTGGAAAAAAAATTAAAATGTATCAATGCAGCAAAACACTTATGCAAGCCATGAAAAAGTGAGACTGAGAAAGGGAGAAAATAAGATTTTTTTCCAAACACACTTTGATGTTTCATTTGTTTAATAAAAAAGAAAAATAAATATACTTTCTGGGAACATCTGGAATGATTTCAGAGTAAAAAAAAATTTGATCTTGGAGGGACCAGACAACAGGTGCTGTTCCTTTACATGACTGTTTTGCTAGGCAATTACTGCACCATTTATGGATCCATTTCAGTCTGCAAACTCACCCCTCTTGGGAACTGAACAAGTTAAAAAAAAAAAACCCACGAAAAATGCCACACCATCAAAAGCAGAGAAAGGTATCAATACCTATCTAATGGTAGGGAAAAAAAGGCAAGCTAACGAATAAATTAAAAAAGGACAACAATTAGCCTCTTGGCTTAAAAAAAAAAAAGTATCTAAATTATATCAATGCCAAAACATTTTCAATCCCCAAAACCTTCTTAGAGAAGTTATAAACAAATATTTCTACAAGAGAAATAAGGAAAAAAAGATTAAAAATCATACGTAATTTTGAATTAATATGTAAATTGGTTATTTCTGTAAGTGCATACTATTTCACATCAACAATCTTTGTAAGACAGGAAAATGAATCATCTTACTGTTTTATCACATTAAAAATCTCTTTAAACTATGATTCTATTGTGAAAGTGTATTCATTGTTTTTCACATTTGAATGGAATAATATCAAGTGACTTAAAGAAGTATACTTTAAATTTGAAAATACATAGTTGTATTGGTACAGCTATAAGGAAGTTAAACACACAGGGACATCTCCTGGCTTCTGTGAGCTAAGTGCTCTCCTTTTCCTTTCTTCCAGCATAAAAGCATTCACAACCCCTGCAGAAATTAAATAGTAAGCCATTCCAAAGCAGCACAGCAGCATCTAGACTCATGTCTTCCAGTGATACTTAGTGAGCTTCATGAAATCAATTTTGTCTGCATGTCAACGACAAATTGTGACACCAGAAAGACTTGTAACAATCCATACTTTCGGTAAGCTTTCAAAGCTTTAAGACTCATCCATCTTAAGCTTTCTACGCAAACCTTTGGAAGGAAAGTTGACTTTGCAGCTCATGACCAAAAACATCTGCCTCCAGCTTCCCACATGTATATTCATCAAATTACAAACTTTTTGTATCTTACCTCCCTACTCTCTTGGATAGAAACAAATACATTCCTAGCTCAGAAACATCAGACTGGTTAAATCATGACTATTTTTTAATATACAGAGTGCTAGGAAATAGTACAAATGAAATTATCACGATTAAAATGGTACCAGCAGAGAAAATCCAGAGGAGTGGTTTGGAATTTTTAGCCACCTGAAGGATTACAAGTAATTGTGTGCTTTTCTCACACAAGCTGCTATGCAAATAACCTGTTCAACTGACCATCTGTTTATTCAGTAGCTTTGAATCCAAGATAGGCATCAGTCACTGTAATCTCACTGACTTTGGGTGCAAAGAGTGACTGCCCCTAATCTATGTTAAAGCCCAGTGTTTGTCTTCCTCTTGCATCTGCATCAGAAATGCTGAGGTTCCCTCCTAGTTTACTTGATTGGAGGAGAGTGGATATAGGAAAGAAAAAGGGGACATATGAACTTATTAAAGTGAGAAACCACAACAGAGGATGCTAGAGTTTATAATTGTGAAACTATAAACAGTCACAAAGGATGGACTGTACCATCTGGTCAAATCCTTCCCCTTCTTCAATATCTAGGACTTGGATGTTACAATCCAGGATGAGAAACTGGTTGGAAAGAAGACAATAGTAGTGGAAGTGTATTTACATGGTTATGTATATTCGGTAGGAAGACCTGGGGAATTGTAATAGACTCCCACCTACAGGAAGCAAAAAACACAGCAAGCTTACCTTTGCTCTATCAGACCAGCCAAAAGACTGTACTGTCACATCTAGCCTCTTCATTAACATACGTCGGCGACATTCGTACTCATTGCGAAGAGCATCATTGATTTTTTCCAATCTTTCCTGCAGTGTTACAATAAAAAATCCAAACATTCTAATCTATACAGTTATACAAGTCAATTTAAAGTTAACCTCATTCAGCAACTAAGATGTCTATCCCCAGGTGACCACTATGAATGACATAAAATTAGAGATGCATCTGTGTAGTGCTACAGTAGTATGTATATACAAAATATTTTGAAAGTTAGTAAGTGGATGAATCAACACTAAGTCTGTTTTATAACATTAATTCTGGAAGTATCTGATTAGCATTGTTAATATTTAGCAATTGAATTTTAGTATTAATATTTAGCAATATTAACAGTGATTAGAACAGTGATTGTAAAATGGACAAAGTTAGATGAAGCCGTATGCATTAATTTTGACCATCCTGTTAAATACAGAAAAGAAATGGAGAGACTTTTTTTTACCACTTGGTCAGAATTCAGAGGCTTTGTTAGCAGTGATTTCCCCACATGGTTATTTTGAACTTTTGAGAGAATGTCCTTTATCTGAAACGAAACACATATTTCTTCTCAGAACACAAATGATATTTACATTTATTTCAGCAAAATTTGCTGCAATCACAATTTGCTACTCGTGAGATCAAATATAGCACATTTGTTTTAGCAGACTCATAAAACCAGATGCGCATCTTCTGGCTTATCATGCATTACAAAAAGATTTCCTGAATACTTTCACTACATGACCAACCTCTATACAAAAATATTTTATGGCACACCACTTCTCCTCCCAATTATAATAGAACAATATCTATATGGCAAATTTATCGAGTGCATATAGGCAGTAGGACTAGTTAATTACTCATTTTACTTAGTAATAAGTGTTGTAACTACAACTAAGGAAATGTAACAACTGGAAGCTAGGAGTTCTGTTGCCAAATGCTGGACTTGGCTACAAAAATCTGGTGATGGGTGTTAATAAGAAAGGCAGGAGATATCATAGATATCTGGTCATTCTCTCTCACTAATTTTCCTATAATTGCTTCCATTTAACATTATGTTTAAGACTTTTGCATTCACTCCAAATCAGCCTTGCTTATACTTCTTCCATTAGTTTTTGCCCTCAGTAATCAGGAATGAAGTATGCTCTCTCTTTCTGCCACCCAAACTCCACTGCATCCTCTCTCTCATTACAAGAAACCTCTACCTCCTCTTCTTGAAGGAACCTCCTTCGGCACAGCTCTTCTACAACCGTTACCATGAATGCCCACAGCACTCGTACATAACTGTCCGGCCAACTGGTTTTTCATCTGGAGTAGACTGCATGCATATTATTGTTCCTGCAAGTTTTGCGTACAGTCTGATGGGGAGAAGAACTACATCTTCATTTGCTTTTTTAAATAATTATGGGGAACCAAGTCAAACAAGACTAAAACTAAAGTTAATTTTCTTTTACATGTCACAAGGAAGGATTAAGGTAGTGCATGATCTACAGTAAAACCTGTAGCTGAGGACAGCCATTAGATACATTTGCAAGGATTATAAGACTTCATGTAGGCACACAGGCATTTACATTAAATTTATCATAAAGGTATGGTTGAAAGCTCACTCTTCCAGTATTATCTTAGTTCATCTTGTCAGAGTTTTGAGCTCTACATATTATAGAAATATCCTCTCCAGCGATCACTATGAATAAAAACTCTAATCAAATTCTAGAGCACCTAGTGAATTGATTAAAGAAAGCTACTTGAAAAGGAATACTTGATAAATCAACTCTCATATTTCAGGGTTTTTGTAATTACCTCCTTTTCCTTTTTTTGCATACACCAAGGAAAGAATCTGATCTCAAATTTGTGTGAAAACTAAGGTGTATATTTTGTTCTTTTTACATCACCTTTGGGCAGCACTGTGGCAAGTTAAAAACCCCCAGAAAAAGTCTGAAGTAAAAAATATTGTGCAGTGAGCATATTATGGGAAAACACTGTTTTGACTCCAGCAGAAAATACAGCCTAGTAGTATCTGAAAAGTGGCCATCTAGTTACTGTAATATTCCCTGCTCCATCTATATGAAAAAAGAGGTTACAATAAGGGGTGAAGTTCAGTTCCATGTACCCTACTGATCCCTACACTCCTCTTTCTCTGCTAATTCTTGCTTCTTTGCAACCTTTATTTTATTTACAAAAAGCTTTCCAGGGTTGTCTGATTTGTCTTTCTAAATGTAGCCAACTTGTTTTGATTTTAGTGAAGCATGTAAATGATGCCTCTCATAATCTACTTCAAAATTCAAATGTACCTAAGCAGAAACTATGTTTGAATTTAAACAGTTTTATATTCTTCCGACATTTGAAGTTAATAATCAACAATATAAGATCAACATGACAGCAAGAGATGAAGAAATCAGTAATTAGTATAGAAGAAGGAATAAACAATTCTATTAGCCAAGAGGTGTCTATCCATATACCGTTAAGGTCAGAGATACAACCTCAAAGGTTCTAATGAGTTGAAAGGAAGAGCATCTATCAAAATGAGACTGGCTGCCGAAAAAAAAACCAACACAACAAAACTAAAACAAATCCTCAATGTAATTTATAGCTATAGAGCGAAAGAAAATCTGGAAACCAGTGATGCTGAGTAGTCTCTAGAGATTAGAATTATTGCAAGTTCACAGCTGCAAGGGCAGCTAAGAGGTAAATACAACATTGGGCTCCATGTACAAAAGCCATACATTCTGCCATCACAAGTCGATCACAATTAAAAGACCTAACCCCGCACCGCATACTCCTGATTTCCATAAATTGAAAAATGAAAGGAAGTTTAGAGAGAACAAATAAGCAAGAGAATCGGTGAAAATCAGAACTGGACGAAACAAGAGCAGCTAAATGAAACAATCCTTTATTGACTGGGAAACTGCCCCCAAATTTCTGCAACCTTTTCTTTCCACGTTAAAGAGAATACCTATGTGATTTTATCCAGTGACAGGTTTATTAATCAAGTAACATTTAAGGAGGACTCTTTTCACTGATGAACTGGTCTATGTTCATGTTTGTGACACACTGTAAACTCATACCCAGACTACTGAATTTCCACTTTACTCCCTCACGCCCATCAGCAGGACTCTGAGGGCATATCCTACAACTATAAAGGTGAAATAAGCTGAGCTGCCTTACAGTAACAGAATTCATCGTCCAGCCTTGACTGATGACAGGGCTATGAGCACAAGAGCTTTGACATACACCTGTCTGCCAGAGGACAAGAAAACAACTAATGTGAGAATCTACGCTATAACCCACATTCCTAAATACAACAGTTGCCCTAGATTAAGAAGGATAAGCACGAGTTTAAAAAAAAGACCACCACAACCACCAAAACCCAGAAGGAAGTCTCTATGTGTAAATGGGAAAAATACCAAAAGCAGTGCCCAGATAAAAGAGCAGTGAAAACATACTCATAGAAATGTAAAACAAATTGTAACAGCCAAATCATCCTAAAGTTCTCACACACTCAGCTGTAAAAAGCAAAACAATTAATTAAAAGCTAGATGGAGACAAATATACTTGACTATTCGACATACTGTGTAATCAATGACCTTGGTAACATTAAATATTTATGGGATTGATTTGCAAGTTCATATACTCTCTAAAAATAGTTTAAAACCAAATCAGTTATTGGATTAGTTCGAGACAAAAATACTGACTTCAAAATCTGCTCTATAAAAATATATAGTTATTCTACTGTTACCAAATAAAGCATATCTTTATGTAATTGAACATGGCATTTCTCGTCTGTTGTGTAAGTCTATACTCTTTTAAAAAAATTTTTAGCTCACATTTCACTACCATGTTCCATATATTTATTAATTATCTTTACCCTCTGTCAAAATAGAGCAATAATTTTTATGTTTAACACAATCATATATGCATGAACCTCCAGGGTTTCTAAGATTTTGAAAACACCTGACCTGGAGAGAGGTGTCATTTTGTTAATTTAAGTTGAACTATCAACACTTTAAGGAAGGAACATTGTCTTAATTAGTCATAAGGTACACTGCACAATTGCAGAAAGATCACCTGAAATCTCAAGCACAAAATATTTTAAGCCATCCTCTGCCTCTTCCATTTACCTGCAGATCATTTTAAAGTTAGATAAATGTTGAAATTAAAGACGTTTTTGTTTGACCTTTATGTCTGGTGAACAAAACAACTCTTAAGCCTTGTTCCCTGCAACTACATTGATACTTAACGTACAGGCACCATTATGTCTGTAAAATTATTAAACACTAACAGTTAAAAGCAAAACACTAACTTAAATATGAATAAATTCTAGGAAGTATTCCCAAATATTTTTAAAGATATTCTTCTCATATATCACTTAAATGTTATTTTAGCTTAGTTTTGATTTAATTTCTTCGGTAACCCTTTATAGTTTCTTTTCATTCTCTACTGTTAGGGGACTACTTTTCACATATTAGAAAACAAATAATGTGGGCAAAGAAAATTTAGAAGACTTTCGATTAGTATTGTATTAAGAAGTCTTTCAAATAAACAGTATTAGAATGTCACTTTATAATTAGGCATGAAATTCACACTATCTTGACTGGAAAAAAAGCCAGATAGGAGCATGAGTTACAAAGCACAACACCGGCATAAACTTTTCTCAATCTCTGATCAATGTTCATTTAGAATTTATGGGGTTTTTGGTACTAAATTTCAGGATGCCTCCCAGAGTTACCCTTTGTAAATATACTTTACAAGGGAACAGCATCTTAAAAAAACAACTAAAAAATTACTATTAGTTTTTCAGTGCTATAGAATGAAATAAAAATGTATTTAGTGGTAGGAAACTGTAATACTGTCAATCCACCTCTCACGTTTTCTTATGTATGTCGATAACCACTACCCCAGTTTATTACAGGAGACGCAAATTTAAAAGGTACTTCCTATGATTGCATATTCAAAGTTTGAGCTACTATAAAACTCATAGTTTGAATGAAGAAAGCAATCCTGGTTTTATACTAGGCTTTTAAATAAACTGACAAATTAGTGAAAACAATCAATGTTCTAACGTTCCATACCAAAATACAATGTGTGATCTGTCCCTTTGGTAGATTGCTGCTGCACAGCCAAACTATTCTCAGAACTATTCCCACAGCTACTGACAATGCTGAAGATGCTAGACAGAGACAAAGAGTAGACATGTTGAAATGCTGCAGATACATTTGCAAATTCAATGAAAATACTAGATTAGTATGTAAGTTTCTATTACAAATGGTATAGTATAATACTAAAAATCAACAGTGCAATTTCACACAGAACCTAATTAAATCAGAAGCAACAAAATATTTGGAAAAAGAAATGGATCATTTCAAGTGAATTTTTGCGAGAATCTAAAAAAAAAGTAACAAATGGCACTCTGAAAAAAAAGTGTGTACAAAGCCAATGAATTCCAATTGGTGGTACCACTGTTTTAATGCAGCTACATCTACAAATGTAGGTGTCTAACTCTGTACTGTATCAAAATAACTCTGAACCTGTCCTATTAGAGTAAGGGATAATGGACAAGGAAACATATAGTAGAAATTCTACAAAATCTTCTGAGAGATAGGAAAAAACCCCTTTATTTGTAAGGGACGAAACACGCAGAGAACAAATTACAGTATTAATTTGGAGTCACAGAAGATGAACAAACTAGTTTTACCATCTTTCTACACTCTGAAGTGAGTACAAATGGTACAATCACTGTGGAATTGAGAGACCTGAAAACCATTGCAAAATAGCCCAGGCAGTAATATTTTTAAAAATAAAATAAAATAAAATAAAAGATAACACTCTTTAAAGATTCTGCTCATTTTAGTACTATGAAACTGTAACAGTTTACATAAACTGTAACAGTAACACTCTACACATCAATTCAAGCCTGTGATCCTATTTGAAAGGAAATCTTGGACTTTGCAAAAGGTGGCAGATACCAGGAGTCTAGTAATTCAAAGAAAACTTTCTAGACTCTCCATGTGTGCATGAAGGAACTGGCCCACCAGGTCTGGTCTTGCTGTCCTGCAATTGCAAAACTAGAGTCCTACCCCTTTAACATGGGATGAAACTAAATCTTCAACCCAAGAAGTGAAGCAAGGAAGTGAGCATGGAAGGCCACTGCTCGTGGCTGCAACCTACAAACCCACATGGATTTAAACACTGCCAACACCCACAGAGGGAGATCATCAGTACTAGGCAAGTTTCAATCATTAGTTATTAGTTGGAACTCTGGCATTTTAATCCTCAGAAAACAGTGCTAGAATTGTTTCTTCATCCTTTCAAAAATATTTAATGGAAAGACTGGATATAAAGACTTCTTTAGAACTAAATAGATCAAGCACAGTTAATAGTGCAGGCATAAGCATTTTCACCATCACCTGGATACTGCTTTTTACAAATGAATCTGTTAAGGGTTTCATCTTGTCACACTACAGACGTACAGGTGTAAGAAAACCATGCAAGTAACAGGCCCTCTCCCCAGATGTTCAGCTGCCCACTGGCTGATGAGGAGGAGGAAGAAAAAAAGAAGCATAATCATGTAAAATTATTAAACTCAAAGACTCAGCAGCAAAGGGAGAATTATTCCACGTATCTCCCATAATTCTTAAAGGGGATCTATCACCCACTCTCTCCCCAACTACTAGGGAGAAATAAAAAGCAAAACTTTTAGCTGCCTGACAGAGAAGACAAATTCTACCCCAAGAGCCTATTTACAGTGAGGAAGTCAGATTAAGGATCACATCAGTGAAACGAGTTAGAAACTGGTAGGACACAACTAAAAGAACTACCCTGTTGAATAACGTTTAAGTTGGGTTATTTGCTGGCTATTGGTAATTCCGGCATTTTCATCCTCTTCTGCAACTAAGGAAATGGCACTTACAAATCAATACTTGCGATTAAGAAATGCATAAACTAAAAAGCAAAAATTTAAGTTTTGGATATTAAATTTAAATACATCCCAGAAATGACTACAGGTACATAAATGCGCAATCAGTTATTACCCAAAGTCTTCTGCTTGCTGCAGCACATTTGAATGGGTAACAGGAAAACTATGTTACTTCAACTCATACCTTAAATTTGCATGACAAAGCATGCCTCATCAGGTACATCGCATCCTCAGGGAAATGCTGAAATACTTCACCTCATAACTAAAACAGTTTAACTTAAACACTAAGCTGGCTTTCAGAATAAAAACTCCTTTGCACTTGCCAGATAGGGCTTTTATGGATTAGACTGTTGGGCCCTTAACTCTAAGATGAATGCTTACAAAGATAATGCTTACAGTTTAACAACAGAGAGAACACATAAAAGCCCATACCTTTTGTTCCGCATTAGTTAACAAGGGAGGAATATCAGAAGACGAGCAGTTTGGCAGGCCCAGTGCATCACAAATAGCTTGCACTTCCTGAAAAATTTCATTGTGCTTTTCCAAGTGAGAGCCTTTAATTTTCTTGCTCTGCAATATCTTTAAAGCCTGAAGTTCTGTACTTAGAAATACTAGAGAGAAAAATGTCATAATGGCAGATTTAGAGACACTTGAATATTTCTGCATCCACATTCTCATATACAAGTACAATATATACAATATATACAATATATTTATAATAAGACCATGATAAAAGTGAGACTCCTCCTCAGCTCTCTCCTGGACAGATCAGTATCAGCTTCCCATTCTTTATCTGAACTAACTCTCACCTGACTTCCTACCTTCGGTCTACACATCGTATTTAACTGCTTAACCCACTTCTGCCACCATCTAGTTCCTTGGCTAGTTTCATATTATCACACTGGTTCCTGCTGTTACTCCTTTGTCCAAGTCCAGCTTAAACTTAGACTTTGCTTCTCTCAATCCTGCTTTCAGCACCTTCAAATCACATAGCGTTTTCTTTTAAGCTGCCCAGAAACCTCTCAGAAAAACAGGAAGGTCTCAGTTTCAGCTGAGCTGGATCAAGAGGCCTCAGTAGGTTGAGCCATACTTCACAAAGAAATTTTGGTTTCTACTAAAATAGTTTTCTAATAGTTTTCTATTTTCCACTTCTCCACAAGTGAGCTGATGCATGCTTAGCTGGGTTGTAATGATTGTACACATATACTTAAATACACATAAACAACTACTTAATGTAAATTGTACAACGACGATAGCGCATGCGTGTAAAATACTGTATTATAAATGGGAAAAATGGTTATAACTTACAGAGGAGTTTAAGACAATCTTCTTTCTCCTTTAATCTGTCCTTGATGTCTCCAGATATAAGTGATAAATACGGACAAGACATTTCTCTCAGAAAGCCACTAATTTCAAGCTGGAAGCTCTCTATATCTTTATCACCTATGGGAATAAATAAATGCAAAAGTAATGTTTTTTTACAGAAACAAACTGTAATTGAATTTTCTTAACTTATACATTTAAATTGCAGGTTTCAATAGCCCAGACAAAGATTTACCACCTACCACCCTAGTAACACTTTTTTTTTTCTTAAAGAAATCCTACATACAAGTAGACAAGCCTTCTAATAGCTACAGCAATATTGTACTCACGCTTTGAGCAAGAAGGTGATGCTACAGCAGTCTTTGAAGACATGAATGCAAATGAACATCTCTAGGAAGTGAACAGCTTATGTCACAAAGCAGCGTATCAATGTAATTAATTTTCTGATAATCAAGGTACATGAGCCCACTATTTTCAATGGTTGTTTTTAGTTTTACTACTTTTTTGTGAAAACATAAGCAATATAAAATCTCATGCAAGTTCCAGCACTCAACAGAAAGAATCAGGTAGCGCTAATGAGCAACTCACATATCTACGCACAGTGCTGAATGGAACACTGCATTGGACCAACTAGCTGAAAATACCAGGCACATGAATTTAAGCCATCAAAATATGATTACATATAACAACCACTCATAGGATGTAAGAATGTACATTTTATATTTATGTAGATCTAAAAAAACCCAAAAGCATCTTTTTTTTTCTTTTAGAAGAATCTTCACAAGACAAGACCTTAATCTAAGAGCCACATAGACGCAAATAGCAGCCTCAGTTTGGCTGCCTTTCAGCTAGCTTCTAAAGTTCAACACTGTAATTTCACTATTAGCTGAACAATATGGGTCTAAATCCACTGAACAAATACTAAATTGCTTTAATAAATTAACATTCATATACCATCTGTTGAAGTGATGCTTTCTTCCATATTACCAAGTGACTTTATTTGGGAACCTAACCAAACGCAAAGCTCAAAAAATTCTGGTGAAGACAATCCATTCTCTGCTGCTTTGTTTAGGGCTTCCTCCTCCAACAGGGGACCCGTGTACCTGCACAAAGAGATAAACGTTAGTGATAAGAAGCAAGTTTAACATAAAATATACACATTTAAAAATCATTTTACTATAAGCTGGTTAGTAATTGCACTGAAAGAAATTAATCTTTGTAAGTTACTTTTGTCAAGGAATAATTCAGATTTCTTTTAAACACACCAAAAACTAAGTGGTAATTTATAAACAGAATGGTTTGTCAGAAAATAGGAGGCAGGCATTTTCACATATCACGTTTGTGTGTGAAAACAGAGTTTCATGTCTCAACACACGCTAAACAGACAAGAATTCAAGTGTTTAGTCAAACAAATTTCCTTCCAACATTAACAACTCACTGCCCTAGAGTACCGGCAATAAGATAACTCAAAATTAAACTAAATTTTGCATTGTTTCTGCTCTGTCGCATCTGAAGCGCGTTGGCGGGAGGTAGGCAGGCAGGCAGGCAGGCAGGCAGGCGGCCCAGCGGTGGGAGACGCGGGCGCCCCCGCAGGG